GACAACATCGACGGAATTACGCCGATTTCGGTTTGCCAACCGGGCTGAAAGCGTTGCAAAAGTCAAGCGTTTTAGGTGGACATTGATCACAACTAACAGAACTGAGCTCCCGTACATGTTCATCGCCCAGTGTTTCACAGTTTAGGCCACAGCGTCTTTGAGTCCGAGATCAGTTTCGGGGAAAGGTGACAATGGCACCGCTCTGACCAGGGCCACACATCTACAAGTCGGACAGCTTTACGAACCGTCAGCGAGCCGAGGCCGAATCATTCGCGTATACCGTACAGTTTAAAACATCAAGTCACTCGTGTATACCGTGCAGTTTAATACATCAAGTCACTCGCGTATGTTGTGCAGTTTAATACATCAGGTCACTCGCGTATGCCGTGCAGTTTAACATATCAAGTCACTCGCGTATGCCGTGCAGTTTAATACATCAAGTCACCGTGTATACCGTGCAGTTTAATACATCAAGTCACTCGCGTATGTCGTGCAGTTTAATACATCAGGTCACTCGCGTATGCCGTGCAGTTTGGTACATCAAGTCACTTGCGTATGCCGTGCAGTTTAATGCATCAAGTCACTCGCGTATGTCGTGCAGTTTAATACATCAAGTCACTCGCGTATGCCGTGCAGTTTAATACATCAAGTCACTCGCGTATACCGTGCAGTGTAATACATCAAGTTACTCGCGTATGCCGTGCAGTTTAATACAGCAAGTCACTCGCGTATGCCGTGCAGTTATACATCAAGTTCACTCGCTTATGCCGTGCAGTTTTAATACATCAAGTCACTCGTTGTATACCGTGCAGTTTAATACATCAAGTCACTCGCTTATGCCGTGCAGTTATATACATCAAGTCACTCGCGTATGCCGTGCAGTTTCCTTAATGCATCAAGTCACTCGCGTATACCCGTGCGTTTAATACATCAAGTCGTTCGCGCATGCCGTGCAGTTGATCACGGTTCTTTCAGTGCTCTAGTTCCTAAAAGCAATTGAACCCCCTGATTTATTAAAACGGAAGAGAGCGAAAGGCCTTAAATTTAGAGAGAAGGCTTCGCTCTATTTGATGTTGACACCTTCCCACGCAGCGCAGCCAACTATATCTTTTTTTCCCGGCAAAAAGTCAGGCAGGGTCATTCCAGGTCAGGGATTTGACCCAATCATTAGAACGTAAACAAATCACAAAAGTACCTGAAATCATTTCTAGTCTTGAATCTTGAGTCTGCGTCAGAACTGCAAGAGGTAGTCACGTTTTCAAAGCAGAAGACTGGCCCGCGTCATTTCGGGTCAGTGACTCCCTTGTCTTCATTAAGTCATCAAATTTTTGTTACGCCTTTTTCATTAGATAATTCGAAAACAGCGTCGAAAATATGATCTCAAAACAAACTCTCCGGTCAAAAGCTGTTTGGATTTTAATTGATCTGACCTTTGTAGCTGACCAGGTCGATATAAAGTATTTGTAAAGATAATTTTAGTTTTATCATTGTGTACAATAATGTACTTGTAATGTCGCAGGAAATTCCGTCCCCACCAGATTGCATGGCCACGCCCTAACAATGTGCAGAGCACAACTTTTTAAACATTGGCCCTCTTATTCTTCAAACCACATGAACCTACAATCCGTAGTTACGATAATATTAGGTCCTAAAACGCGTTACGACCGGGCCGTGCCGGCCGGGCCCGGCCGCCCGCAGAGCTGTACTTCTCAGCTGTACCTCTCCTAGAGACTGTACTTCTCAACCTATGTTCATGGCTGCTTCACGTCAACGAATTATAATGCGGCGACAGGTTATTTGCGGTTTGCCGTGCGCAGATTGGCCTGCGTAACGCAGGAGAGCGTCCAGCAAAGGACTGGCGAGACACGCAACTGGCGTGGAGCCAAGGGAACAGACCAGCCGTTTATAAACTGATTTTGAAAAGTATTGCTTAGTGCTGGTAACACAGAGTGGTGTAGCCAGAGGGCCACAGAGGTCGCACTCTTTGACTGATTGTAACCCCGTGAAGGAGTGAAACGACGGCAGCGGATTTTACGGATCTCATTTTCAGTCCTGCTGCTCAGACCCGTCCAAGGTTGCGCAGAGCTGACAATAGCCCAGTGGTTAAGCTGCGCGTCTAGCAAGCCAGAGGTACGGGGATCGATTTCCCGCGGCGCCCGCCCTTCCTGACATGGTGAGAGGAAGACAACACCAGCAATTATTATGATCTGGCAATAAAAGTATTGCAGTATCATGATCTGGTAAGTAAAGTACCGTGGAGCATCTATTCAGTTGAACATCTCAAATCGGTCGGCAACAACAAACAGTTTTGGAAATGCTTCGAATGCTGCCAACTTGGCATCGGCTGCCAACCATACCACATTTCCCGAACGCATGCGATGACTCGAACGCCTCGCGCCGGTTGCCAGTTACGCACGCTTTTGCAGATGTTTTGAATGCATGGCAGGTGCCGAGTCGCCTGCTAACTTTCAGCCCGCCCCAGGTTCACCATAATATGCACTAGCCCGAAAGAGGCATGGCTGCAGCGCGCACAGTCTGGCATGCCTCGGCCATTGAGCGCTGGATCGGCGGCGATCGCAGGCGGCCTCATGCGTCGCGTTTGACCGCGGCCGTTCGTGCCGTGGGCCAGTCAGGACGTTGCAGTCGGACGCTCATGCATTGGGCACCAGTCCGGCCTGCTGTCGGCCCGCCCCTGCTGTGGACCAGTCTGTTTTGCAGTCGGCCGCTCGTGCAGCTGGGCCAGTCCGGCGTGCAGTCGGCCGCTCGTGCAGTGTGGGACAGTCCGGCAGTGCAGTCGGCCGCTCGCGCAGGGACACGTCCGGCGGGCAGTCGGCCGCTCGTGCAGTGGGCAAGTCGGCGGGCAGTCGGCCGCTCGTGCAGTGGGCCAGTCCGGCGGGCAGTCGGCCGCTCGTGCAGTGGGCCAGTCCGGCGGGCAGTCGGCCGCTCGTGCAGTGGGCCAGTCCGGCGGGCAGTCGGCCGCTCGTGCAGTGGGCCAATCCTGCCTGCAGCCGGCCGTTCGTGCAGTAGACCAGTCCGGTGTGCAGTCGGCCGCTCGCGCAGTGGACCAGTCCGGCCTGCAGTCGGCCGCTCGTGCAGTGGGCCAGTCCGGCCTGCAGTCGGCTGCTCGTGCAGTGGACGAGTCTGGTCTGTAGTCGACCGCCGTCTTCGCCGCCGCCGTCTTCGACTTCCTGAATCTCCTTGTCTAAATGTACGTAGTCCCCACATACCGTACCGTCTGCCTGCCTCGGAAGGGGAGGGGGAAGAAGGGACAACCGTCACCCAGACAGGGTGCAGCAGGTTGTTTTTTCGCCGCCAGGCTGGTGACGCGCGTCCGCCGCTCGCTGGTATGTCTCGCCTGCTCTGGTGGCGTCAGAATGGATTACTGTGACTGATGCGGTGCACCGGCACGACTGTCTGGACGTGTACCGTGCCCTGCATTTAAGCGGGTCACCCATCGCTTTGCGTGCAATGTCCATCGCAGGCCATGAGGCCTTTTAGTGTCGCATTCGAACTGTGGCGTGCGATGTCCGTCACAAGCCATGAGGCCTGCTAGTGTCACGCTCGAGCTGTGGCGAGCGACGTCCATCACAAGCCATGAGGCCTGTAGTGTCGTCGGGTGTGGCGAGCGACGTCCATCACAAGCCATGAGGCCTGCTAGCGTCGTCGTCGAGTGGTAGCGAGCGACGTCCATCACAAGCCATGAGGCCTGCTAGCGTCGCACCGAGCTGTGGCGTGCGTTGTCTATCACAAGCCATGAGGCCTGCCAGCGTCGCACTCGAGCTGTGGCGTGCGTTGTCCATCACAAGCCATGAGGCCTGCCAGCGTCGCACTCGAGCTGTGGCGTGCGATGTCCATCACAACCAGGGCCTGCTAGTGTCGCACTCGAGCTGTGGCGAGTGATCCATCACAAGCCATGAGGCCTGCTAGCGTCGCACTCGAGCTGTGGCGCGTGCGATGTCCATCACAAGCCATGAGGCCTGCCAGCGTCGGTTTCGGGCGGTGGCGAGCGGCGCTGGTACACTGCACCTCCCAGGTGTCCGGCTGGCTGCCACCCAGCGATAGTTCTTCGCGTGTGCCGCCAGCGGGAGCCGTCTGCCTCCGGCACCCGTTCACGTTCCCTCGTGCCGCGCCTTGGAACCATTTTAGAGCACTGACCCCATGGTTGTACGTGTCTATGTGTGCCAGTGTGGGTGTGTCGTTTTATGTGCTTTTTACGTGAGTGAATGGGTGCATAATAGCCGCCACGTGGACGCCCGTAAATAAAGTATCTATGAGTCTTTTTCACGCGAACATTATTGGGTAGGAATCTAATTTGGTACCAAATCTGAACCGCACAAAGCGTAGCAAAAGCTAATAGCTTGTCTTTAAGGCTGTCAAAAAACGTGTTTGTTTTTTTGGAGACGTTTCTGTATCGTCATGTACCCATTTGTCATTTCGCGTTTGCAATATTCAATGGTTTGGTTCAATCGGACCAAATAGGTGAACGTAAAATGCTGTATAATGACGAAACAAAAACGCTTCTTAAGTAAAGTCTACCGGCTATTTTGGAGCGAGTCAGGTCAAACGATCCGTACCATGTTTATCGTATTTACCGTGCATTTTGGAATATAATGTCTGTGCGGTGTGGCAGGACCGATTAAGGTGCCAGTCGAATGCAGGCCAGCGTGGAAACGGGCTAGGCTTACCGTTGCCCTGCACGGGACCATATTTTGGCCGGTTCTTGGCTACTGGGTCGTTTAGTTTAGACGGCTGTGTCCACGTGTTGTGTTGCGTATGTGATGTAAACGTGGAATAGTTACCGAGCACCTGTATTCGGAATGTTCTGACATTAAACAGCGCAGTTTCTTAGCAAGTCTCACGTTCTCTGGGCGAACGTTGTTGAACGTTGAACCGTTGTTGTCACCGCCGACTGAAGCAAACGATGATAATTGCTATGCTTTACGATAGTGAAGACGGCCTCCGGCCTCGGTCTGTTCTTATTCTGTGACCGATTCTCATGTTGCTGAACATGAACATCCTGTGGCCATTTCCAATGCTGCTGGGCAGATGTTTCCGAACCGCCGATCCGTGAAGTCGACGGGAACGCCGACCTGCGGCCGATCACGCCGTGACTGTGGCCGTAGCTGACACTCCAGACTGCTGGGGGCAACACTTCAGATTGCTGGGGGCGCGCCCATTTTGAACACATTGCACGCCAACCAATAAACCCTGCGAAGGCTCACAATTATCAGCTTATCGACAAAAAAGAGGGGACATACTGTCTGGTTACCCCAGATGAATTTACATGATTTGTGTCCTGCAATGAGGTAGGTAAGTTGAGTAGTAAAAAAGCAAGGTCCGGTGAGCCCCTACGTACAATTTTGCGATCTTCTCGAGTTAAAGTATCGAGACCAGCAATGCTGGAGATACAACTTGTGTCGTCGGCAATGTTGTTTAAATTTTACCACAGTTTCGTAATAATTATGTAGAGAAATTAATGAAGTGTATTAATTGCAATTCTAAGCTTGTAATTGCGTGTCACTGGTCTTTTTAAAAGATGTAGTACTACAGCATTCACATTATTGCAGGTGTTGCAGGTCTGCAGGTCAAATATTGCAGTTACAAGTCACGAACATTTAAGATCCAGTTACAGGCCCGCATGTATTAAGAGTATTACAGGTATGCCGTAATACTTTTACAGGTTCGAAGAAGGCCAGTGGCCAAAGTGCGGCACGCAATTTAACGTGGATATTCCCTTTTCCACGTAATTGCGAAGAAATATCTGACATGCGATCAACAGTTTAATTCTCAATGTTCCTCTCAACAGCGTTGAAATAAGTGGTTTGATCCGCTGGTTAGGTGCGTCTGGAGCACTGCAAACTCTCTTAAAATCACGCAGTTTTTTGGACACGGCCCAATCTTACACTAACAACCTTCCAGAAATGTTTTTTGTGATATTGAGTGGTTATCACGTACAATTAAAAGTTAAGTGACTTTCTGAATTAAGCTTGATTTTACTTTTTTAGCGTGCTGTGCAGCCGAGGATGGCACCATGGGTTTTGAAAAGCGGGACGAAGATATGAATGTACTCTGATGCAAAATGTACTGTGCCGTAACTATTTCGATTCTTTAAAATCGTAGCATAGTGAGTGGTGCTTGCCCACACCAACCGAATGTCGAACCTGATTTGCACTGCCCAGAGGTTAAGCAAAATTTTGGTCTTCAGTTGTGGTAACATCATTGGCAAAAAGTGGTAATTTGAAAGGCTGGTGGTCCCGAGAGCGCGTCATTTTAAAATGTCTTAAGAACGACGGTTATTTTTCATGTGAAGATAATGCATGCGTCACGTCGGCTAAGCTCAGAGCATGGCGTTGGCTCTTCCAGTATTGGCTGGCGCGAGGCTGTTTTTCATGGCGGTTGATCTGACCTAGTGCAGCTTTATTTCATAGATTGGGGTACCCTGTTGGTGTGTGGGAGCGAGTGGTGAAGGCTTGAAATCAGTTGGACCTTCTGCTGTCATCACAAATCCAATATGTATTCAATGCATGAGGATCCTCGCTCGCTGTGCTGCTATGTCTAGATACGAAATCTGCCTCAGACATTGCTTGACCCGACCAAAAACCCAAATCGCGCAAATTTGGATCTTGACATACGCTATTACTTGAAGGTCATTGCGTTTGTTCGCTGCAATGGCTATTAAATGCACCGCAAGGTGGAACATTCTGTTTGCGATGACCACAGTCGCCGCTTGTGTTCCCAGCCGCAGCTCGGATTCGCGGCCGTCTCATGAGCCCGAACAGGAGAGCCTGTCAGCGTGTCGGCCTGATGGATCAGCTGATCCGTATCTCCTGGTGGGCGGAATACCGGCAGCGTCGCCGCCATTCCCGCCGCCTGTGGGCGGTAGTGGTGATGGATTGAGTGGCCTAGCCCGACGAACACAGCAAAAAACAGCTGGTGGGCGACACAGAAATGCTTAATGACGCTAGAAACAGGTACTCGACGCATTCTTTTCCATTCTGGTGGGTGGGTGTGATAGAAATCTGCACATTATGCGAGATGCTTTTAACGATTCAGGCACAGAACCAGAGGATCATGGCCGTCCTATTTCTGACGACATCAGTCGTGTGTTTTATCCGTTCTTTTGTGTACTGAAGCTGCGTGAACGGTGCTACGTTGGTTCAGGGAGGGTGGCGGTGGGTAGCATTCCCGCCTCCGCTAACCTTTTCTACCCATTTAGGTTAAGCTTTCTTACAGCTCGGAAGATGTCATTACGAATGAATTGAATGTCATGGACTGCAGTGACTACATAAGAAATGGCCATGCTCGTTTGCGTGTGCTAGCTAATTGCTTAGCAGTCATGTCAAACAATCAATTAGCATACTTAAATACGATAAGGCTCACGCGCCTCATCGCAATCGAGATGCCAACACCTACACCGGTGTGTTGTACATCCGGCATTCGAGACCCATGTCAATCTGGACGCGTTTCGGTATCCGAAGGACTTGCGATACACCGGCTGGCCTTCTCTCGTGGTGAGCACGCTTCGATAGACCATCGGCCCTGACCTTCGTGTGGAGTTCAGTCTCTGGCGCGGACCGTGCCGACACCGCCGACGCATGTATGCACATACGTGCCGGCAATATCCACATCGGTGGCCTGGAGTTCTTCTACCACAGGTCACCGTGAAAGCTTCCGGGGCTGTCAGGTCCAATATGACGTAGCCGTGATACTGAACCCGGTTCGAAGCGGAATTCGCCGACGCACACACGGCGCGTCCCGCAGCTCACGCGGTAGCGACTCAAACCGAGCCCCGCACCCCGCCCGTTCCGCGTCCTCCTGGAGCAGGGATCAGGCTGAACATCAGGCAGCAGGAGCACCCGGTGCTCGCTCCGCCGGTGGGCCGGCGAACTCCCAGCCCAGCGGTGCAGCAGGGCCTCGGCCGGCGGCGGCCAGACTTGCCAGCAGCTGCAGCCGGCGGCCGACGGGCGGGCGCGCAGCAGTCTGCGGCGCGCCGCTGCAGCGTGGGGTGTGCGGTCAGCGCTGCGCCA